ATGCATTTTGAGAGGATGCTCTATGACAAGAGGTATAAAGAATTGGAAGCCAAGTATAATTTGTCCCAAAAATTGCCAAGGGTTTCCATTCCAACTGTGATGTTAAGGCAAATGGCAGATATTTACACCAAAATAATTTTTGAGGAATTCCAAAATGAGTACGTGCAGTCCATTGAAGCGTCCATTGTAGGCACTATTCATGATGGTGAGAGTACCATATTCACGATTCAAACGGACGTAGATGGAAAAAAAGATAAGAATGTGACAATGGATAGAGATGATTTTTTGAGTTGTAGTTGCAAGAAATTTGAAGTGAAAGACATAGTGTGTCGACATTGTTTAAAGGTGCTTAGAGAGATAATCAATGCAAAGGACCTTCCTGCACAATACATACTCAAACGATGGACTAAAAAAGCAAGGGCTGGAAGTGTGAAAGATAGGCGTGGGGATGATGTCAAGGCTGATGTGAAACTACATCAAAGCGACTGATATAGGTCATTGATGAATATGTTTAGAGCAATAGCAAGTAGAGTTGCCGAAAGTGAAGAAACTTATCATTTGTCACTTGCAAAATGTGAAGAACTGAGTGTCATGGTTGAAGACAAATTAAGTGGGCACACTTGTGGTCAAGTGGAGATTACCGAATTGAGAAATTCCTCAACTAAGACATGCCCACAGAGTGAAGAAATAGATTGTCCAATCCAAGTTAAGGGACTCAAGAAAAGACAAGCAACTAGTAAGGGAAGAAGGAGGATCAAGGACGTGATGAAAAAATCCATTGCAAAGAAGAAAAGAATGCAATCTAAATGAGGTAATTACACAAAATTGAACCTATGATTAAATGACATTTTGTTATGTGTTATGTGATGTGTTACCAATTTTGTGTTATGTGTGTTGGAAAACTAATGAATTAAAGAAATTGGTCATTTGTAGGGTGATGCTTTTTGTGCTCCTGAAAATCAATCTGAGCCTCGTACCACCATGGGTAATAATTGTATTCAGGTAATATTTACTATTGTGTGCAACCTTGTATTAATCTTGTTGGATTGGTTATTCTTGTAATCTAGTAGGGTGATATTTATTATGCATGTAAGATGGTTCTTTTTGTGCTTCCCAAGGTCAATCTCAACCTTCTTCGGCTATTGGTAATCATTCAATACAGGTAAACTTTTTTGTGCTTCCCCTGGTTTGAGTTAGTTGCTTATCACAAATTTTGTCTTGTTATGAGAATTGTGTAATTTGGAAGTGATTTTTAGATTCTTCTTATGACATGAAATCATGGGTTTGTTCAGTTTTGTGTTGTAGCAAACTTCATTTTGGAATGTATTTCATGTATGCCCAAGAAACAGATTAGTTTTTGTATATTACTTGATAAGAAAAACATGTGTGTTCTTTCTCACTTGTAGTCTAGCACATATGCTTGTTGACTGCGCTGTCTAAAGGAAATTCCCATGTTAAATTTATTATGTTGCTAATGATAGAACTCCAAAGGGTTAAACTTTGTAAAATCAACAGAGCATATCTCAGAAAAAAGGAGAATAAAAAACCTATAATGGCTTACTCATGTAATCGCTTTTGTTTTGGTCTATTTCTGATACTGCTGTCTTGAAGTTTTATATCAAAGGCAAAAAAGGTTGCAAATTGGCTTTTATATCAAAAGCAACATCAAAGCGTTTTTGTTTAATTATTTGGCATCGAGCAAGTTGGCACCTATGTACATCCTAAGATAAAGGTCATCAATGTGCATTAATGTTGTTTTACTTTCCTGCATTGGTTGTATAGGGTGTTACTGTTTATACTCCCCAAGATCAATCTCAACGTCCTTTGGCCATTGGTAATCATTCAATACAGGTAAATTGAACCTTTGACATGCATAGACCTTAGGGAAATTGAACCTCATATGGAACCATTGTTTTATTTTATTAATGTTGTTTTACTTTCTCGCATTGGTTGTATAGGGTGTTACTGTTTATACTCTCCAAAGTCAATATCAACCTCCTTTTATTATGAGTAGTAATTATGTTGAGGTAATGATTCATATTGTGTGTTTTTTTAAAATGAAAATGCATTCAGCATGCTTCGTTAGAGTTTTTCAAAAATTATTTTCAGAAAATTCTACTTTCTTATTTTTCGTGTTTCTTTTGTTTTTACTGAATTTTTTAATATTTTAAGCAATTTTTTTTTTTACTTTTTAGACATACTTAACATAAATATACCTAAAAAGTAAAAAATTTGTGAAAGAAACCTTTTAAAAATTCACTAAATACCAAAAAAAAAAATACGAGAATTCAGTATATTTTTTTGTATTTTTATGTATTTATTAATTTTTTAAAATATTTTTTCACAAATTTTTTACTTTTTAGATACATCTAAATAAGATGCATCTAAAAAAGTAAAAAAAATGTTTGAAATTTTAAAAATATTCACTAAAAACAAAAAAATACAAAAATCAAAAAACTCAATTTTTAAAAAATTTAATCCAAAAAACTCAAACCAAACACACTGATTAGTATTTTTTTTTATTTCATATATTATTTGCTTTATGTTGGTTTACTTTAGGGTCATGGTCATGGTGTCTATAGTTCTCAATCTCGACCTCCCATGGGTCACACAAGTGTTCATCATGTCACGTATCCTACATATGATGTGAGTTATAATTACTTACATACTTTACATTCAAATGGAAGTACACATTGTATCAATATTTTAATAAATTTAGCACTATTGCAGGGAAGTAATACGCCTCAGTCAATGCTTTTAGTCTATCCCACTCAGACATCGTTTCAGGAGTTGCTTCGAGGCACTACAGTTCAACACTTTCCAGTCCAAATGTTGCAAGCCTCACATAGTCCTGCTGACAGTCATGTATATGGACATCGTTGAACGAACGATGATGTTATTATATTTTAAACAGATTTGGGTGTATTTTTTTATGTTGTTCAAATTTGGGTCATTATTGATGTTATTTTTTGCAATGGGAACTATGTTTGTAAATGACATGTTTGGGAACAATGGTCACAATGTTTGCAATGGGAACAATGTTTGATACATGTTATTTTTTTATGACATTATTTTTTGATTCTTATGCTATGAATGAAAAGAATATTCAAAATTTATTATGTTGGGTGTTTGCTATATGATTGAGTTATGGATTTATTGGTTTAAATATTAGGAGCAAAATACATGCATATATATACTTGGTAATGGGCAGATTAATGTCACTTATTTTGTGTTTTAATTACACCCTATAATGGACAGATTACACTTAGTTTCTATTTGATTACACCCTGTAATGAACAGATTACGCTTATTTCCTGTTTTGATAACACCCTGTATGGATAGATTACGCTTATTTCCTGTTTTGATAACACCCTGTAATTGACAGATTACGCTTATTTCTTGTTTTGATTATACCCTGTAATGGACAGATTACGCTTATTTCCTGTTTAATTACACCCAATAATGGACAGATTACACTTATTTCCTGTTTTGATTCCACCCTCTAATGGACAGATTACACAGCTCTGCTGGGAGAGGTCCAACATAACCATAACCATACAAATTGATTACACAGATTACACAGCTCTGCTGAACAAAATGAACAACATAAAAATACCAAGTGCCACCACATAACCATATAACCATACAAAGTTAACAAGTCCAGATAGCTATACAAAAAAAAAGTTTACAAACATAACCACATAACCATACAAAGTGCCACCACCAAGTTCATATAACCATACAAAAATAAAGATTACAAAACTATTACATTTTTATAACTAACACTGATACCAATTACAAGCAAGATGAACAACCCATAAATACGACACGAATTTTGATTTATGTCTGTTTCCAACCCAAGCACCTTCGCCCTCAGAAATTGGAGTTCTTCGCTTTGAAATCGAAGTTGTTTGTTCATAAGTCGAAGTTGTTGTTCGGTAACAGTTGGCATATTTTCCATTTGCATTACTCCTTCACCTCTACCTTGTGAATTTGTAGGCAAGCACCATCCAATAAAATCGCCGCAATTTTGACAACAATAAAATAATTTGTTTCTGTTTTGCTCCGTTTCGGAAATTCGAATTGTTGCTTTCTTATGACATTTAGGATAGTTTCTGTTGCAATACGTCAACTGATTTGAGGTACCTCCGTTAACATTTGAACTTGACATCTGCAAAATTATATACACAATTCATAGGTAAAATTATATACAAAATTATATACACAATTCATAAATTTCATTGAAGTCATATTTGTCACAGCCTCAACTCACACACCCTCTTAGGCTAAAGTCACATTCAACTTGGATCACATCATTCCTACATACTACTATGTAAATTGGTCTATGTTACACATGATAGATTGATAACCCTTTCATCTAACTCTGGATTTGAAATCAACAACAACTGATAAATCTATTGCTCTAGGTTGTTTTTTCCTAAATGTGAACACATCACATATACAGATTATCAAGGGAGGGATTCACCCTTGCAAGGACAAATTTATGCCAAATAAAATAAAAGTCAAGTTCAACTGATAAATTGAGTCTTTGCGGCCTCAAAAGAAGCCTATTTCATTCCCAATATTAACACCACATCAAACCCAAGGATGCAACCGCCCCAGCTTCCTCTTACGAAATAGAAAGAAAAACATGAAGAACGGAAAGAAGAGAAAAAACATTATCAACACTAAGAAGCTATATCAACATATCGGCTATGTGAGTCCCGTCTCTCACAACATGTCAAAGAACATGTCACATGAATCACAAGCTTCTCAAAGTGGTTCATACTCACTTTAGTGATTACAATTATACCATAGTTATCAGATACACAGACCAAGTAGGAAACTAAAAACTTCAGTTAACTGTGAAAACATATTTTCAATAATCATTCAGCATTTAACCATAGGTGTTCAATGTTAATCACTCAAATCCAGCAGCATAAAAGGCAACATTAAAAGAGAATAATAACCAAAACAAACACCAAGGCATCAGATTCAACCTTCAGTATTATAGGAAGTGTAGATAGCTCAACGGCAGGCAACTCCCTCAATTCACTGTTGACACTATGATAAGTCTCATCTGCAGAAGTAACAACAAAGATCAACTATTCATAGCATCATGAACAATACAAGTTTTTTTATGAATAATTGTTTAAAATGACAAAATACAAATCTGCAGGACAAAGGGCCTGTGAAGGCATTTAACTAGCAGTGCTGAAAAAATAGTTGGTAATGTGTTTGGCAAAGGTTTCCTAAGAAGTGCTGAAATAGGGACATAGATGAAATTATCACTTTTCTTGAGACAAAGTTCAAAAGTTCATATAATTCAATGTAGGGTAAATTACAATGACCCCTCCCTTGAAGTATAGAAAAATTACAATTAACCCCACAGTTTTAACATAATTACAAAAGCTTCCCCTCCACTAACAGCAGGTTAAATGAAGCTAACTGAGTTTATGAATTTACTATCACACCCTTTATTGTTTTTTATTTTATGGAATAATTATAACTTCTTTAAAAAGAAAAGAAATCTCGTGCAATAGCTCATGAATGCACTGAGAAATCTTGTATCTTGCCTAACATACACAAGATTTCTCAATGGATGTGCACTAAGAAATCTTACCTTGCATACACTAGATTTCTCAATGTACTCTTAGCTTTGAACTATAAATGCTAAGCAAACTTAAAAAGTAAAATCTAATACCACTTAACTACATTAAACACATAGATGGACACCTTTTCAACTATTTGGTTACTCAACCCAACAAGGAAATTGACTTATACAAGTTACAACAAGAATGCTATTAGATGTCCAACGCATGTTTTCTACAAACCTATACAGATAGCATCCAATACACAAACAACTAAATTTACGTTGGTATGATGTTAACAATCATAGATTACCAATAGATAGTTTTAGCCTCCCTAAGACGTTTGAGTCAAATCAAAATAGAAACAACAAAACCAGTTGAAATTAGAAAGTTAAACAATGATTCAAGTACCAATCTGACTATGTTCGTTCCAATCACCCAAATAGATCCAATATTTTAACATCCAAACTAAAAAGCAATATCAAGGCTCCCAAATAATCTTGAGGAAAGAGAAAAATAAATTACAAACTATCTACACAAATTGGACCAACAAGACCTTCCTATAATTAATCAGATAGCAACCAGCTTCTAACTTTACAGAAATTGGGAATTCAAGAAAGGATGAATCACATGAAAATATGACAATAATTGTTTTAAGAGTGGATCATAGCTAATACTTACTGTTAAGAGTATTAAAATGCATATGGATCATAGCTAATACTTACTGTTAAGAGTATTAAAATGCATATTTCTTTGCACACTACAAATGTTATCCCTACATGAAAAAAGTATGTCATTAGGTAATAAAGAAAAATAAATAAAAGCTTAAAAAACTACAAAGCAATAGAACACCAATGAGAAGATACTATTACTAGTTACCATATGTATGAGCACCCTGTAGTCTCCTGAAAGCTAAGAGCTAATTCAGTTGAAAACTTTGGATCTCTCCATGAGATAATTGTATCTGGAAGGAGGGGAAAAAAACTAAATTAAGCAATAACCCTAAGGAAAAAACGAATAACAAGAATCACTTGTGTAAACAAAAAGAATACCTTCTTGTTTTCGGTAAATATCATCTGAACTAATACGGTGAACAAGTAATGTTTCATTGTCTTCTTCATCAATGACAAACAAACTCAGTTCTTCTGCTCTCTGTGCCATGACATTTGAGTTCAATCAAAATACCAGTCAATTTTTTAGAAATCATTTTGACAAAGAATCTCTGTGTTTTGATTTTTGGACTCAATCAAAATATCAGTCAATTCATTTTGACAAGGAACCTTTGATCACAAATTTAACAATGTAAGGGAAAAACGGGTTACAGAAACAACCACACCTCCAAATAATCAACAGTAACATGCCCAGTTCCTTGGTCATCCCACTTCCCATCACCACTCAGACGGTAGACTTTAACACGCTGAAATTTAATTGAAATTAAATATAAACTAAGAAGCACTTTCACCAGTTAAGAAAAACTTAACAGAATTCTCACTTAACAATGGTGCCAAAGATAATAGGCAGACATAGAATAGAAACCCACCATTGAAAGATACACCATGATCAAATGCGTCTATGGTGCACAAGGAAGAGAGGCTCATAGTGTGTACATACGGTGACTACAACCAGTTCGGAAAAAGCTTCTCGAGAGCTAATAATGAAAAACATGGTTGTTAGAATCGTGTGTTTCACAATACAATTTAGTTATATTGATATTTATTTTATGTTAAACATTGGTCCTGTTTGGTGTAACTGTTAAAACAGATTATAGATTATGACTTTAATCAGAAACTGTTAATCTGTTTGGTATAACTATTGGATTATACATTTAAGTTGCTGAATAGTGTTTGTTAAATAAACTCAATGTGAAGCAGCTTTTTCAATTAACTATTACTTTTTATTATTCACTATTTGTTTATATTTCTCATAAAAAATAAAAATAATATTTTATAGTCCATTTGGGTCTTTTTCTATTTTTAAAAAAATAAAAAATAAAAAAATTTAAGAGTATAACCGTGAATTAATATGTCCACAGCATTAGCTGATAATTAGAAGTAAGGGGTAAGCAGCTTCTCAGAATCAGCTTTTTTGACTTATAATAAGTTGTTACAGTCAGAAGCTGTTTGAAATAAGTTTAACCAAACAGTCTAAAATAACTTTTTAAAAGCCAAAAGCTGGCTCAAAAAAGTCACACCAAACACCCCTATTGTGTATTTGTAGAAATATATAAAATGGCAAATACTAACAAGAGCCCGACGACATTGTTTAATATTGGGATTTATGTAAAAAGTGTTTTGGAAATGGTGAAAAAGTACAAAATTAATTCAATGAGAAAATGTATTGAAAATTAGCGAAAATTGTCTTATATTCTACAACTTTTTTGTTTTTTTCTTATGCCCAGGAGCACTTGTTAGCAAGACCCATATAAAATTTATATTGTTACAACTCAGGCCTCGTTCGGGAATAGGCTAATTTAGTAATTTTTTGGCTATTTGGCTAAAATATGAGCTAAAAAAACTAGTATGTTTGGATGACTTTTTGGCTTTTTACGAAAAGATGTGCAAAAAGTAGAAAGAAAAGAGAATCTTTGACTTTTTGATATGGGTTGTTGGCTTTTTGATTTTTTTAGTGACTTTTTGGCTAAAAAAACCACTTGCCAAACGAGGCCTCAGTCTACTAACCTTGAGGTTGTAGGTTTGAAACTAGAATTCTCAATAATGCCACAAGTTAGGTATTGCCCAATCTATCCTCCGAGAAGAACCCCATTCAATGGGAACTTAACTGTGCAAATATATATATATATATATTATTATTATTAAATAAAGTGAATCTTATGTATCTCGATTCAAATCTATTTGCTATTTCAACAAATTTCTTCTTGCTTTATCAAGCTCCATGAATTGGAGTATTTGTAATATCAAACTTGGTAAATCCTAATGCTCCATTCAATAGCAAAAAAAAAAATAATGTACAATAAACTACAAATGGTTTATTTTTCTGCTATAGTTCAGTTTATCAGATACGGCTCATTATTTTGCTAAGAAATATTAAACTGGGGATTGTAGGGGGGGTTCCCAGAGGGAGCATCCTACCAAGAATTGGTGTATATGTATGCCACATTCAGTAAAATTATGGTGGGGCCCAAATTTTCCTGCAACAACTAAGCACATGTACTAGAAAGAAAAATGATTTTTATTTTCCTTTTCCCTTTCTATCCCCCATCAATTAAATGCAGCATAAGGAATTTTGGGGGCATTTGCAAAATGGCCCCAACCAACTTGCAAAGTGACATAATATCAGCAGCTATACTCCAAAATATTGGATTAATATGCCATTTGGCAAAATAGAGACAAAGCCAACACTCTACCTAGACACCCAAAGACAAGCAAGGTCACACATGTCCTCACTATGCAGGCGATCAAGGTTGTCACAAGCTCTAGCAAATATTTTTTCCAATAACTTGTTTCATTCAGTTTTTGAACACTACTAACTGTAGCAATCCTATCATGTACTTGGCAAATAGCATATCACAAACCTAGCAAAGTTCTTAACCTTTGTACTATCATGTAATCAACAAATAACATTGAAATGTTATTTCCAACACTTCACTTTTAAATGGCCGACTTGTTACGAGGATCAAGTTTTGATTACAGGTACTGCCACCTGCCACAAACAAAATGCCCATTTCCAAGCATTTCTAAACTGGGTCACTGCCACTCAGCTGGCACTAAAACCCTTACACTGTGTTTAGGAACCTAGGAGAGAAAAGAAAAGAAATGATTGTGATTTCTCATATTTTTGTTTGGATAAGGAAGAAATAAAAGAAAAGAAATAATTATGATTTCTCTCATTCTTGTTTGGTTAGATTTCATTAAAAGAAAAGAAAAAAAAAATTATTTTATGTTATATTACCAAAATAACCTTTTTATATTTTCAATCATTTTATTTTTTTTATTTTTATAGGGACAAAATTAGTATTATGAAAATAGTGGTTTCTTTTCTCTCTCAATCTCTCCACTTTTTAGAAGAATGAAAATGAGGCTTATAAGAGAAATGAATTTCTCTCCATTTCTCTCAATTTCTCTCCACTTAGGTTATTCAAACAAATAAGAGAAATACATATCTCAATTTCTTTTCTTTTCTCTCCAAATCACTCAATCCAAACATAGCGTTAGTGACCAGTGTTGCGGATCTAGGGCACACCAGGGGACACTCACGAGCAAAAACACAAGACTTTTAACGTGGTTCGGCAAACCGGCCTACGTCCACGGGAGCGATGTTGTTATATATCAACAAATGGAGGAGATTACACACTCTCAACTCACTGTCTCTCTATATAACACACTCTCTCACACTCTCTGATATGCTATGATGCCGTTTATTCAACTCACCATCACCATTCCATTTTATACACCAAAACAGAAGGTGGAGGAGGCCTCATGGGTGTGTTGGCTGCCAGCCCAATATTCTCCTTTGTTGCTGGCGCATGGCAAGCCTCATGGCTGCCAACTCAAGCCTCATGACTTGCCAACTCATGCCAACCTCTTTTGCCTTCCTTTTACCATGTGGGTTGGCCACCCTTCCATGTGGCTGCCAACTCAATTTGGGTTGATCTCCTACAAATCACCCCCTCAACCCATATGAGGTGATCCATAATAGCACCCCCTGCCTGGAGTGCCCGGCACCCCCTCACTGGGGTGCCATGCAAAGCTTACTTTGCAACTCTTTGAGATGGCATCTCTCCCTTCCATCCAGTCTTGGAGAGATCCCAATATGTCTCTAATTCAGGAGCAAAAGAAACTTTCTTATGTAGCCGACCGGCCAAAAATGCCTGAATCGGGGCAGTTTTGACTTTTCATCTCAGGTCTTTTAAAATAGGGTTTCAAACCCTATTTTTCTCATTTCTCTCTAGCCGAAAATGCTTCCTCCCTCTCTCTAGGACATTTTTCTTCCTTCGTTCCTCGTTTTTCTCGTGTTTTTGCGCCCGTTTCGTCGTTGGATTCGCGAAGTTCTTCGCGTTTTGTACATTTTGAACCGAACATTTCTTTGTTTCGGTGCTTCCTTTGCCATTTCCACTTTTTGGGGTTTGTTTCCCTCGTTTTCCTATCGATTCCTATACCTTTTTCACTTCCCAGCTTTTTCGGCCATTTTCCGCCCTCTCGGGGTTGACTTTTTGTTGACCTTTCACATTCCAGCCTGACTTTCAGTTTTCTGGCCATTTTCTCATGACCATTGACATGGCGGATGATATCCCACAGGGCGGGACTCCCCCAGATCATAAGATGGACCCCGGGGCCGAGCTCCTCCCCTTGAGCGTCCGCCCGTTCAACTCGGCGACCTACCGGCCGGCGATTCACGTGCTTCCTCCCGACGGACTTCGTCAGTTCAGGAGCTTCGAGAGGGGCGTGCCTCCAGATCTTCTCTTGTGCGAGCCTACATCTCATTTGTCCTTCGGCGCTTGCGAGGTAACATTCTTCCCTCTGCTTTACTTTCCGCAACCTAGAACACTTGGCTGCCGTAATTGATTATGCTCTTTAACTGCTTAACCCAAATGCACTGAGGCACTGTACACCGTAATCGACCGTGAACACACTTGTAACTGTTTATTTCTTTGAATCTGAACACGTGCACACATACTGCATTCGCCCTGAACCACTCAAATATACTGACACATCAGTCACTGTAGTTCACTACGAGCACACCAGCACCCGATATCTGTTTGAATCTGAAAAATGTGCCCACATGCTGTATCTACAACAAACCATGCAAACACACTAACACATCACATGTTGTAGTTCACTACCAAATCTGAATGCTTTTCAAAACTGTACTTTAGCGTTTCTTTGCCATTAACTGCTTGAAAACAGTGAGATTCCCATACCGTCCGGGGGTATGGAATTATTGCCGCTCGGGATTGGTATGTAGAGTTACCCGACGCGGTTCGCCACATCATGGACCAGGCCAGCTTGGCGCATTTTGCAGAGGGCTTTCTAGGCTGACGACGAGCAGGCCTCTCATTACTGCTCTAGCAGAGAGGTGGTGGGACACCACCGACTCGTTCCACCTTTCTGCCATGGGAGACATGACGATGAATCCCTATGATTTCTCGATGCTCACCG